CAAAAAAAGTGACTTAAAAAGGCAAGGCTGTGTGAGCTTGCACATGCCTATATACATATTATCTGCGACGCAAATATTTATGATATTTCCATTTTTGCCCCTCTTTTTTGGAACTGTTTTCCTGCTATACAACATCGGTACATAAAAAGAGTCGATTTTTCGTAGGTCTAGTGATATAGGTCCTTGTGCTCATTTTTGTTGGCAACAAATTTTGAAGTGTAATTTTTTCATTTAATTTGTATTAAGGAAGGATTGTAGAATTTTTCTTAGAAGCCCTTTTGTTTGTACAATAACATCTATTGATAGAAGACAATGCAGATAAACCTCTATAAATTAATACATTCGGAATAAGTGAACTTCTATTGATTTAGCGAAATATTAAATTGTCGAACTAATAATTTTATACATTTTCACTGAGTCGGGACCGAGAGAAATTATTATTTAAGCGAAGTCCTCTGCATCGTCATAAATTGCTGTCTTTAACATTGTCGCGACCGATCTAGAGTTTCAGTGATGCATTTGTTACATTTTTCTCAATTTTGTCATCATGTAATTAAATAATGGAGATATAATTGTTACATAGAGAAATAATCAGAAAGGGTATTGTAGTCCATTAAGTGTATTTTTGTTAAAATTCATGTATCTTTATTAATATAGTTTCTTAATGTTCGTGCAGAAACCTTAAAAGACATATAATATGAAAGAAAGAGAGCATTTATTTTTTTACTATTTTGCGAATGATGGATACAACAAGAATTATTGATCTCAAATTACGTTCTTCAATTTCAAAGACAGATAATATGAAACGAAGAGAGCATTTACTTTACTATTTTGCGAATGCAAAATGATGGATACAACAATAATTATTGATCTCAATTTACGTTCTTCAGCTTCATTATATATCGAACTTATTGGTTTTCCTATTCGTTTAAAATATTTATAATAGTTATCGGATAATACAAATTTTACTATTATGCCAAAACATTGTTTTTAAGTAAGTGCCCACACGGCATACGTATCCAAATAGTTTCGAACACATGCCTCTCATCAAACTCCGTTATAACATATACAACTTCAAGCAAACTTCAGTAACTGGGTGTGATTACTAAATTACACTCTTGAAGTAAGGTCAATTTACGAAATATTTTATCTCGTTATTGAACTTATATTTACCCCCTCAAATCAACTGCTAGCCAAATTCTTTTAATGGAATCAGTAAAACGTCTTAATTGCTTCTTCCAAATTGAACAACACAAAAGTCGACGAAAAATACTTCAATTGGCTTGAATCTTATCTTGCATGTGAAACATATTTGAAGTTCTGAGAAAAACCGACGTCGCACTTCAACAAAGCTCATAAATTTTTCGAATTTCATCGTCCCGCCTAAAAAAAAAACTTTGAATCTTTCGATTAAGGTTATTAGGCTTTTAAAAAAATAAATAATATATACCTTTTCTATTATTTTTATTTTCTATTTAATTTATTTTTCTTTTTTAACAAACAATATATTCAATAACGTAAACATTTTAAATTTGCAAAAGAAATCATGGAAATTATTTATTTATTTATATATGGTTGATAACAAAGTTTCTCATCATAAATAAAAGAAAAAAGAAAAAAGAGGATAGAAGGGGCAAAGCAGATCTGATATTATATAGTACACACACTCATATAGTTGCTGTCGTTTCTCTCTCTAACCCCTCTCTCTCTCTCTCTAACTCATCATCTTCCTCTCTCTCTCTCTACCATTCTTTCTCTCTCTAGAGCTCGCTCGCACTCTCTCTCACGCTCGTCGGAGTTTATCGTATCCGGCGATTCGTATTTGATGTGGCGAAAGGGGGAGAAGCGGTGTTAAGAGCAAGCCGACCTACCTGAGAGTTAGCCGCCTCGATAATAATAATAATAATTAAAACCCTAGATCCCAAATCTTTTTTTTTTTAATTTTAATTTTCGGGGTTGAATCTTTCAAGCTGCTTTAAGGATCTAATAATGGCGGGCGCTCCACCTCCTCCCTCCCAGTCTCAGCCTCTCTCCGCCGAAGAGGAAGCGCTCAAGAGTAGCATGGATTGCGTTTACTTTCTTGCTTCGCCTTTAACTTGCAAAAAGGTCCTTTTTTTTTTTCCTTTCCTTTTTATGATACGTGTGCGTATTTGTTTTGTGCTTGCGGTTATGTAGCAATTCTTTTTTTTCCGTATCAGATTTGTTTGAATATATGATTTCAGTTTCCGCATATGACATGTTTTGGTGC